GTCCCACTGCTGCTGCCACTGCTGCTGCCCTGGAAGGTGCTGCACAAGGGATCCGAAAACAAATCAGGAAAGTCTCCTGCCTGGTTACTGACAAACTGCAGCATCTCTGTAAAACAGAAGAAAATTAGTTCAATGCTATCTCATCACCTGCATATTTTAAACACCTGCCATTACATCAGGACTGGAATTATAGTGTGTGTGCACAGAAGGGAGTTCTGGGTCCTTCAAAACCTTCAGAGAACACACCACATTAATGCACCGCCTCCAGAGAGAGACCAAGAAGTGGCCAGTAGCACAACCCTCCTACAACAATCTTCCAGACAACAAGATCCAAGCACAGACTAGAACTTAGAGACATCTCCGATACATAACTAAAATACTAAAGTCTTGTTCCATCACTCCTTCAGTATAACCCTTGCAGAAGGAAGAAACCAAACACCCCCACAATTCTAGCCCTAACCATTCTCCCATTCATTTTTTGGGAGCTTTCAAGCCCCTTATCTGTCCTGCTCCACTGAGTACTTGAAAAATGAAGAGACGGGGTCATTTTCCCTTTCTTTCACTCACAAGCAAAATAAAAATTGGGGGAAAAGCACTAAAGAAAACAACATTTTATCAAACTGTACCAGGAGAAATCCACRCAAGTGTTCAAAACATCAGAATAACTTTTTCTGTTGGTTTTCTGCCTGCAATCACTGCACAACAGGTTCTCTCCATCCTGTCTTCTCCAGGATTTTATCAGCCCCCATCAAGAGGGTCCTACTGGAACACTATAGGACTTCTTCCCAGAGGAGACCATTACACAACCAAGAGACTATTGTTCATAAACAGAGCTTCCTCTTCCCTCCATCTAATCCAATTTAATCCAGTTAGGCACCTTAAGATACCTGAATGCTTTCCCTGATCTGTGTGCAGGCAGAGGCATGAGGAGTCAGACATTCTTCCCCACCCCAGCATCTGCCCCTGCTCCACTGGCTCTTCCATTGTTTTCTGAACATCATATATATATTTTTCTGGAAATARGAAAAGAGGGAACCCGCAAACCTAAGAGAGTTTTTAACACAATAATAAACATGGATATAGTATGCAAAAAATTAGATTTCTGATTTACAGGAAAAAGTATGGCAATGGGATCCTTACACCAGGACCCTTCTCATTCACAAACCCCACGGGATGTTGCTACTGTGATTTATGAAGCAGGTTTGAAGCAGTAAACTTTTGACAAGGAATTTCCATGGATTATGTCCCAGCAATAAGAGGGACTATTAATTTGCTCTCTGAAATGTCACTCACACATTATCCAATTAATTTGTAGGACATTCCTTTGTCTGAAACAGAGCAAAGGGATGAATCCTCCTCCAAGCCTCTTGCTCCCTCAATACATATTTCAATGTGTTTCAGTGATACTACTATTCTTCCTTTTGATAGCAATCCCTCCACATTCTGACACACATTTAAGTGTTGGCCATGACCACTGCTCTCAAGAAGTAGAGTCTATTGGATGGAGGAGCCTGGGATTTGCATCCTCCTGACCTCTTCATAACCTGACCCTAAGTGGGAATGCACAGTTACACCAGCATGAGGCAGCAGCCACCATCAGGGACCAGCTGGACCAAACTCATCTCCACTTTTCACTAGAAGAATGAAAGATTTTTTTTTTAATGCACTACCTCAGTTGACTTTCACAAAACACTACCAGAGCAAGGAGGGCTATTTCAAGATTAACAACCAGGTGTATAGTAAACAGCTCTTCATGTTCCAACTGACTGCAGCTGAGACCATCCCAAATAAACCTTGATGTGATAAAACTGATAATCCAAAATACTTCCCAAACTCTTCATTTGATGGCACTGCTATTTCACTATCAGACAGTATAACTGCAAGTATGGAATAAACATAAATCAGATGAGATTTGCTCTAAGAGAGTAAACACCAGCATAAGAACAAAATTTCAAGCACTGTTTTAAAGAATGCAGTTCAATGCAGTAGATTTAATATTTTATTTWAAAAAAATTTACTCCTGCTCTCCCAAGTTAAACCACACCTTTATGACAGACTTAACTTTGACTGAATGCAAAAATCTGAAGTTTAATTTTGAAGAATTAAGTCTGCCAGGGGATCAAACCTACTTCTTTTGAAGYACCCAAGAGCTTTCCTGATAACAACAAACAAAAAAATAAAAGCAAAAGAAACAGCCAACACCCAAAATCTAAATCTCTGCCTTTTAAAACACTTTCACCTACCCAGAAATCAATGTCTACACTCACTGTGAGAAATCCCAGGTGCTTCTGGAGGACCAGCCATCACTGGTAAACACAATGTCACCAGAGCACCTGCACCTTCTGTGCAGGAGAGGTCTCAGGCCCTAATTAGAGCATAGTGACACTCACTGCAAAAAAAAAACCCGGCCCAACCCAAGGCTAAAAAATGTCAACAAGGTATTACAAAACTGAAACTGAGCCCACCAAGGGCTCCTGCCACTTTCATCAGCCCAGGGCCTGAATACCTGGCAGAAAGGTAAGGGCTGGGCTTCAGCTGCCTCTCCCAGGAGGCGGCTCAGCTCTCCAGCAAACAGGCTGCTCTTCCTCAGCTTCTGGAGATGCTGTGCTCTGAGAAATGGAAAGCAGTGGAGATCCCAACCTCAAAAGAAACAACCTCTCTGTCCTGAACCCTGATGTGCTTCACACCTACAACTGACTCAAACCTTGTGCTCCAATGTTACSCAGCAGGGCCCTGCCAGCGGGAGGATGCCCATGGTTGGTGGAGGAGCTGGWGCTGGGGCAGGGGGCAGAGCCTTCGAGCTCAGGCACTGGGGCCCCYTGACCATCCTGTCTTGGAAGCATGAACCCAGTGAGCACTGACATCCCAGAGCACATYCACCACAAAAAAAATCAAAATCCACCAACAGGCAGTGAGGAGCCCCTCAGCATGAGCTGGAGAGGAATACCCATAAGATGACTTAAAAACTAAATTAAAAATTCTTGCAGAATTTCAAATTCTGAGATGAATCCATGATGGAGCACAAAAAAAAAAAAGCAGGATTGTCATAGATCTCCCCCCTGCTTTCCCCAGGAAAATCCACCCCTGGAGCTGRGGCGGAAAGTGAAGCTCCTTTTCCTGAGTTACTCATCGCTCTGAATCACACCTCCCAGGGCACACCTCAGTTCAGAACTATCGCTGGGTTCATCATTTTGTCTCAGTTTCCATAGGGAACCTGAGAATCATTACGTGGTGCTTAAACAACAGCAAACACCACCTTCAATATGCACTCTCAAACTTTATGAGCAATAACTAAACTCACTGCACTCTCATAAGGTACATCCTTCTTTTACGACAAAATAAAAAAGGAGTATAATTTTTGCCTCAAGCTACGGGGCAAATCAGTGTCAATTAGAAATCTAAAAGTAGTGGTATAATTTTATCTCCCAGCTGCTAAACAAGAATATTTTGGACACCTCCAAAACTGAGCTCTGTCTGGGATTACAGCCCAGCAGAGCAGTCAGCTAAGCCAGCAGCTCATCTCACTCAGCCTACAGCACAGACCACACCAAGAAATGGCATTTCAAATGGGGTTTTTAGGAGCTGCCTGGTGTCGCCAAAAATATACATAAAATAGGCGTCACACGCAGGCGCTTCATTTTGCTGCACTTCGGTGGAAAACAGGGATTTTCTCACAGGTCTGGGCCGTGCCAGCGATGCAGTGAAGTTTCAGGACGACAGGGAAAAAGGGAAATTTAAGCAGTTAGAGCTGTTTCCATGCAGGAGGGCTTGGAGGCTCGGCCTCCCACGGGCACTTTGCGGCGGTACAACTTCAGCCATGGTTTAGCAGCCACTTTGAAGAGAACCACGAGGGGAACGTGGGCAGTGCCGTTTGCCCCGCGGGTCCGCGGCAGGAGCAGGGGGACACGGCCATCAGCTTTCCCGACCCTTCCCCGCGCCGGCCACCGGCGGGAGGATGGGCTCGGACCCCCACATCCCCACGCCTTCCTGCGGTTAAGGCCACGACTCCAGGCGTGGGGCAGTACCACGGAAATCGGTCGGAAGCGCTCCCCTGGCAGGAGAGACACGAGTGGCCGCTCGCCAGGCGAGCGCTGCCCGGCGGGACGCGCCTCGCACCCCCGCCTACACCCACCGGGACGGGGGATCCCCGCCCCGCCCCCGCTGCCGCCCGCGTGGAAGCCCGTACCGCGTGGGAAGCGCACCCACGCTGCGCTCCCACTCCGCACTCGGGGGGACACGCCAGCAGCACGATGCAAGGACCACCCRCCCACAAGTCCTACCCCAGCAGCCGCGAACCCGCAAGGGGAGACCCGAGCGCTCCCACCACCACGAGTGGGAAGCCCACGCGCGCCGTCTCCACCCCACCCCCCGCTCCCTTCCGCGGCGCCCACCGTCGATGTCGCCCAGGGTGAGCTCGTCGCCCAGCTCGGTCAGGGTCTCCATGCTCTCGGCGGCCAGCTCGCCGCCCTCCATCGCACAGGGCGCGCCGCCACCCCGAGCGCTCAAGCGGACTCTGTTGCCGCTGCCGGCGGGCGCCGCCGACCCCGCGCCATCTTGGGCCGGCCCGCGGCCCCGCCCCCACGGCCCCAGCGCGCGCGCCCCCCGCGGTTTGTTGTCAATGAGACCAGGTCGCTCCCGGCCAATGGGCGGCCGCGGCGGCGCGTGGTGTGATGGCGCGTCAGCGATCAGCAGCTGCGATTAGCATGGCCCGCCCCGCCCCCGCAACGCCAATATTCATGAGGGGGCGGGGCCGCCCGCGCGCTCCTCCTCCTCCTCCACCGCCCACGGGAAACGCGGCCGGGGCAGGACTCGCACCCGGGGATGTCGCCAGGGTATCCGGCGGACAGGGCAGCTGAAAGGGCGGCGGTGGACACAGATGGGATTTGTCCTTCCTTCCGCAGCGCCCGTGGACCCTCACCTCCTGAGGGGCGAGCCTTCACGCTCGCTGGCACATACCCGCTCCCACCAGGAACGGGAGTAAGAGCCAGGATTCTTAAAAAAAAAAAAAAAAGTCAATTTTATTCAAGAAGAAACAAATGCGCCCATTGCAACGCCCTCCCCCCACTGGAGGGACTTGGCTCTGCTGTTAAAAAATTGGGGAGGTTTCCCTTTCCTCCAAGGCTGTGATGCCGCCAGCCCGGCACGGGGCACCCGCTCTTTGGGGACGGGCCCTGTGCAAGGGCCGGCTCTGGTGCGAGGCCATCAGCGTCGGTGAGAATCACAGCGTGTGTGTGGCGGGTCCTGCGGCTTGTGCCGCCACCGCAGCCCAGACACCCGGTGGAGGGTCGCAGCCCCTGAGGCGGCTCCCTCCCTGCTTCGGACCAGCTATCTCCACATGCTCTTCCTCGTCTGGCTGTGCCTCCGACAAGGGACTTTGAGGACTCATTTAGAGAGTACGAGCCCCAAGAGGAGGGACGGGGCATGGGGTGCAGGAGAGGCTCTCAGTGGCTATGGGYTGGTTCTCCAGCATCTTCAGCATCCCCACTGCCTGCACTACAGCCACCCACTGGCTGCAAGGAGGCCACGTACCGCAGCCTGTCCAATAATTGACTGTTTGCCTCTCTGCGGGAATGCCCTGCGGTGGCCATGGGATGCTGTTGGCCAGGAACAGCTGCCATCGGCATTTTCAGCTACTTCTGGACCATGAAACGCGTGTGGCTCGGTGAAACAGCCGCTGGGGAAAGGGGAGGGCTGATCTGGCAGAGGTAGCAGCTGTGCAGAGACCAGGTAAAACCCAGTGGGGGTGCCAATGAGATCATCCGTTTAACAAAACGAAAACCAAAACTGAGAAGCAGCATTGCTCATGAGGCTGTTTGGTGCGATGCACTCGCCAGCCCACCCATGTCGGAGGAGGCACGTTCAGCGTGGGGCGTGCTGCGGGAGGAGGGATCCCTGGCCTCAGCAAGGGGCGTGTCCCTCACACCCTACTTACCCATCGGCAGCAACACTCTGACCGGGGTTTGGCCCCACCGCTTTCCTATCTGTGCTTTACCTCTGGGGAAGGGATATCCCACTTTAGCCCGACTGGGGCAACCCACCAGCACCACCACCAACCTCCACTGAATGAATAGGAAAGGCAACAAAACAAAACCCACGGCACAAATGGAAAGGGAACTGCCAGGCACTAGCCCAAGGCTGATGAGAAGGGAGCAAGCCACTCTGTCCCAGTGGTGTCACCCCCACTGCAAGGCACAAGTCCCTGCATGCTACAGCTCCGACTGTGAGCGGGAGATGCGTGGGCCCTTGCGGATCTCCTTCCGCTTCTCCTCCTTCTTCCTTCTCTTCTCCTCATCCCTCAGCGCCTTCTGAAAKGTGTCAGTACTGGGGAAAAACTGTGGGTTGACAGCAGGCGGTCAGCATAGAAGAGCCCCCACAGCCTCCCAGAGGCACAACCCCTCCAAACCCACCAAAGCCGACACACAAGCCTCACAGTACTGGGGAGCTTTGAGGATGGATGCAGCATGAGGCAGATAGAGTTTTSACCATGAGGCAGTTGGCAACAGCAGAGGAGAGCACACCAGGTGCCCAAAGTAGCCCACAGTATAGATGGGGAATTCAATGTTTGTGTTTCAGTCATGCTTATTCAGTGACACRGGCTTTTGGCCATTCCCCACAAGCCACCCATTCCATTCCCCAGCCCGCTGCCTGGAGCTGAGACAGAGATGGGGAAACCCACATGGCAARCTGGCAGTGCTGCCATCTTACCTCTGACTGGTCCGTTTTAAAGGGATTGCGGTAATCGGGCGATTTCTCACTTATTCCCAGCTCCTGAGCCATCTGCAGAGCACAGGGGAGACCTCATTGGGGAGTGATGCCTCCCACTCACAACCCCCCAACTGTGACCAGGGTCCCCCACTCTCCCCACCAGCCCCATCTATGCTCTATGCTCTTCCCCCATCCCTCAGTTCAAGGACCGACCCCAGAAATGGGGGCCCCCTCCCTTCCTTTTACCCCAAAACCCTCAACCCTCCCCACCTAGCAGCAGAGAATGGTTGTGGCAGAGGGAATGAAGAGCCGTACCAGCCGCAGGACCTGGGAGTGGGGTCCYTGCTCGAACACACCCGTCAGGTTGCAGAAGCCGATGCCCCAGCGGATGAGGCTGTTCCAGTTGGAGTTGCGGTCGAAGTAGTGGTGCACAATCTTGGGGAAGCGCAGGACGACATCCCCAAAGAAGGCAGTGTTCTCCACCACGTGGGAGTATGCTGTGGGGACCGCCACCAGCCCCATCAGCACAGGGCCCCATCCCCCTGGCACTTGTCTTCCTGCCAGGAGGTGGGGAGGCTGAGTACAAACCAGAAGGATCCCCAGTATGAACCGGTCAGAGAAGCAGCAATATGGTCACCAACAGACAGGGAACAGCCCAGGTCTGGTCTGAATACACAGGGGTTTTGTACCTACCCCAGCGTGGATCCCAGGAAGAATGTCTGTGGTGCACCAGTGCACCAGATAAAGGAGGGGGGCAAAAACCAGAGAGGACCTACCATCCTTTATCTTCTCGTCCTGAGGGAAGGGCCCATCAGGAGGCACGTCGGCGGCGATGAGCACAGCACGAGAGTCCTCCAGCACCTGCCAGAGCTGTTGGTTACTGCTCTGTCCTGCCAGTCCTGCCCTGTACCATGGAGGTGCTACCACAGTTACYCCACTTTTAAATCCCATAGCATCCTCCCTTCATGTCCTAAATCTCACCTGCCACGAAGTTCTTTTCTTTGACTCCACAGAAGGCCCCAACCCTTCCCATTTCTGCCCACCCTTGTGGGCACAGAGTGCAGCTGGCACTGTGGCTTACTTTGAAGAGTCCCTTGAGCATGATGTCAATGATTTTRTACTGCTGGTTGATGTCATTGAGCTCAATCAAGTTCTTCAAAGCGTTCATCTGGTCCTTGCGCTTCACCTCAAACAGCTTCTTATCTGCACCGCTGTCAAGGTCACTGCCGACACTCCCCGACCCCGCTGCTGCTCTCCCCACTCCACCGGGCACTGACACTATCCCAGCCCCACCCCAGTTCTCCCTGAGGTGTCTGAGGGCTAGGGGGCAGCACCTGAGCCAGGATGAAACACAGATTTCCAGGGAACCCCTTGCCCAAACACCCCTGCAGGGCCCTTAACAACACTGAAAGCTTGTGGGGAGCTTTCTACTTGCCAGTCTTGCTCTGGCTGATGGGCTGGAGAGGGAAATGAACTGCCACCTTCTCCATGTGTCTCCACGTACTGCATTTTCATATTTTGCCTGTTCACCAGGGGATACTGCTGCATGTTAAGAAGCCCATCTCCTCATGGGCAAAAAGTGCCTGTGGCACCAAGTGCCATAAGGCAAGGAGTCCTCTTCCACCATCCCTGTTGGTGACCCCAAAGCACTCTGACGTGTAGGCACACTCTGCCTCCTGGCTGGCCATGCCACTTCCAGGAGCAGACTGGGAAATGTGCTCAATGCCCAGCATAATGGAGCAAAAGGAGAACATCAGGCATCACTGCCATTTCTGCTTCTGCACCAAGCCAGGCACTTCATTAGCAAACTCAGGAGCTTGGCTAAAGTCTGTCTACAGAAGGGAAAAGCAGCAACTTCCCAGTGCTCCCGGATCCTCTCTTTTCCACTTCCTTATGCCCCTTTCCATGGCCTCTGACCCTTTCCCAGTGCACGAGCTCCCTCAAGCCTCCGTAGCCATCCGTGCATACATGAATCACGAGGGGCAGGCTGCAGAGGATACAGATTTCCAAGCCAGAGTCTACTCGCTGTTTCTCCAGCTCTGTGAAACTGCCCTGGGATAGCAGCAGTGACAGCAGAAAGGGACAGATGATGAGAAAATCCATGTTGGTGCTGCAGCCTGCAAGAAAACCAATGACCAGTGAGCAGAGTTACCAAAAGGAGAAGTCCCACAAGACACTTGGGACCCATGGCACACTGCCCTGGGCACCAGTGTCCTTACCCACCTCTCTCTTGTCCCCRCGAGGGGTCTGAGAGATACAATGGCCAGAGCAGAGCCACATGCTGATGCTGCAGCCAGCCTGCTCTCCCCTACAAGGGAAGCCCTGGTCCCCCTCTTCTCTACCTGCTTCCACTGCCAGCCCCCAGGGATCTGACCGAGCACTGACCCAGCAGAAAAATGAAGTCCTACCCTTTCTTCCAAAAATAACAGCTAGCTTTTTGCTGAGGTTGTGAGGCAGAGCAGCCCAACAATCAAAACAGCAGGTCTGGCAGGAAGAGAAGGATCATCGAGGGGTTGAAGTCCCYCTCTCCTTCTAGTCCCAGTTGCAACCAGTTCAGTTCAGTGACCTCACTTCACCCCTTGGGGTGCTGGTACCTGGACCCTTTCCCTCATTACAAGCTGGATGCCAACTCTGGACCCCACACCAAAAAGCAACAGTTGAGTGACCTGGTGCTAACTTCCCCCTTCCACCAAATGAGTCCCTTCCCAGGCAGTGTCTGAGGCTTTGCAGGGATGCTGTTGAGCAGAGCTKCTCCTGACCACAAAGGTCCCTCAGACAAAGTCAAGAGCTGGAGGAAAACGTCCTTGAGAATGACAACCCTCTTGGACAGTCTATACCTTGAAAAGGAGGGCAGTASCTCAGGCCCCAGGAAGCAGAACTTGAGGTGCTCTCTCTGCAGGCACAAGGTTTCCACTGAGCTGAGTAGAGGCCACTGGCAATTACGGAAGCAACAGCTCCTTCAGAGGCATTGTATGAGCTGCCTCCTGCTCCTGAGGGAAAGGCAGATGCGTAAGGCTACCAGAGTTGACCTCACCTACCACCCACTGCCCTCTTGAGCCTGAGTTTGCCTGCCCAGCCAAACCTATCTCTGTAATTCYCTAACACTGAAACAAAAAACTGTTTTTTTCTTGTCACTCTTCTGTTTCAAACAAATAYAATTTCTTCAGCCCCAGGCCCATGAGAGAGAGGCATCAGCAGCTCCCCCAGCCCTGCAACGATCAGCAGCAGCTCCTGCCATGCACCTCCTGCTGAGGCCAAGCCAATCATCACCACACCACTGACAGAAGTAGGGGAACAGTGTCAGGTGAATAGGAGAAACCCTCTGAAATATTTTGCTGTTGTGTTTTATAAAAGGTAGCACCCCTGGAGGGGAACAAATCAGAGTAAATACAACCTGCATTAYTGAAGATGATACGGCTGCCTCTGGTGTGGGCTCAGCAACACAGCCCTTATCTCAGACATGACACGGAGCCAGGACGGCAGCACAAATCCCCCTGGAGTCTGTCCCCTCTGCCCATACCCAGTGGTGTGAGGCTTAAGCCATATTCCAGCCATCCTGGATGCCACAAAGCACACTGACAAGTCAGTGCTGTAAGGAAAATTCACCAGCCCAGGCAAACAGATGTTCTGCTGGACTCATCAGCCTGGTCMGCTTCCAAGAGACTGCTTCACTCTGCCAATAAACATGACCCAAGGACCCAAGGCCTGGCTCATTAAGGTGGTGCAGGTCTCCCCTYTGCACAGCCCCACACAGCTGCTCACTCCCTCCTAAGCTCTCRGGGAGGAGGAAGTGCAGCAATGCAAAAGCACAAAGAGTGAATGCCCTGGGACCCAGGATCCTGTTTGCCCCTTAGATCAGACATGCCACCATAAGGACCGGGCTGGCTATTTGCCATGCTCATGGAGAACTGGAAAGACACGTTGGAAGCAGCCACTGGTCTCCAGACCAGGCTGGAAGGCAAAGAGCAGAAATGCTGCCCACAACAGCTCTGCCATGCTGTCCATGGCAGTCCCAGCATGTCTGCTCAGAGCAGGGGCTGCTCCATCCCCATTTCCAACACCAGAGTTGGGTGGCTGGAGGCTGTTCTGAAGCTACAAGGGGAAAGATGAGCTGCAAAAAACCCTGTTCAAGGGAAGAGCAGAGCAGAGCACAACTCTCGGCCAAAGCAGTTGCTGACCAGCTGGTTGCTGCAGCAGAAGGTCCACCAGGAACCTGCCTGGCTGCTTCTAAATCTGGGAACAGTGACGGGCTTCTTCAGGGACACAACAGCARATGCCATGGTACAGATGGCTGATGTTTTCAATGAAAATGTATTCAAATCCTCCTACACCGGCCCTAAAGATTGTCTCATGGGACAGGGTCAGAGGTAGAGGACTGGAGAACCACACCATACCAGAAGCCCACCACCTTTTCATCTGATCTGCTGGCACTAGTTCTCTCATCAAAGCTATTTACTTGCCATTGTCCATCAGGGCTGAAACACACCAGTGAAAATGAAGCAGGACCGAGTTGTTTCTCTCACACAAGGGAACTTGAGGGTGCTGATGTCACGTGGGACCACCTCAGATTTATTTCATTTCGCTGCCCTGGCAATTTCACCCCATTTTAACAACAGAAGACATTCCTTCCTCTCCAGGCCACACTGTGTAAGTGCAGAGATGCCAAAGCTCCTTGCAGGTATTTATCTATGCTTTCCCCACAAACTCTCTCTTGTGTCTTCACACCCACTGAGGGATGAGATAAGAAACACCGCAGAGCTGCTCCTCTCTTCCCTCCCTGCTCCTCAATTGATTTCTGCCAAAGACGGCTCTGCCTGATGCTCCCAGAGCAGTCCAGGGAGCCAGGGCCTGGCCTGATGCTACAGATGGAAAGSAGTTTCCACCAACATTGCCTCACAGCCCTGGCCAGCTGGCTGTTTCAGCAGCAAGCCCACCAGTCTGTCTCGCTGTCTCCCAACCTCTTAATTTAGATGTGTTTTTCCAAAGACATGACAACAGATGCCATGTTATAGATGGTTAGTATTTCCCATTAAAATGTTTTCAATTACTTTATAAATTTTCCTGCAGGAGCCCCATCTGAACTAAGCATCCCTGAGATTTATTCACTTAATGAGCTTGCAAGGCAGAGCCATGCTGCAATGCTTTAGCTCCCAGGAGACTTTTGCATGATCCCCCCACTTCCCCTCTGCAGGCACTGAAATGTAGGGGGAAAAGCATCATCCTCTGCTAGGAGCACATTGTGGCAAAACAAGGAATGTAAACTCCCTGCCCCACGAATCCATCTGTGAGCCGCTCCTCCAACAACCAGATGAGGATTAATCTCTTGTTACAGCTGAACCAAAAGCTTCAGAAGTGAAACACCACTACTCAGACTCCTTCTAGGAGGACATTTCTATATGGGGCTTACAGGACCAGCTGCTTCAGCTGAAACAACCCTGGCCATTTACACCTGCTTGTCTCCAAAGTCCCCCAGTCACCAAGCTTAGAAGCTCGAGTACCACAGGATTTGGCCACCCCGATTTCCTGCAGTGATTTCCAGCAGGAACGGGTCCATCCCAGCCCACCCTCGTGCCTCCCGTCCTGCCGGAGGGGTTCAGAAGCACCCTGAGGCCTCGGGCGACCGCTGGCACAAGGAGATGGGGATTCTCCTGCAAGATCCGCTGATAAAGTAGCGGCAGTCATACAGGGACGATGGAGGGTAAAGGGGATCAGCCGAACCTACCCCGGCCGCGTTGCGGGAAACCCACCCGGAGCCGTGCCGAGTGAACGCAGCAGCGGCACACGAGAGGATGCGAAGGCTCGGGGCGGGACGGCAGCTCCCCGGAGCAGCGGCTCCAGCGCCCGGCGAGGGCGAGCAGGAGCGGGCGAGCAGGCGGAGATGGCAGACAGAGCCCGTCGGGCACAGCCTTTGAACCCAGGGTCTAGCGAGCTGCCCTGGGGCCGCACTGCCCTCCSCCCTCATCGGCCCCTCCCGGGTCTCGCTCGGGGAGTACCGGCCACCTCCGCCCCGTCCCCAGGTGGCCCCGGAGCGGCCCCAGGACTACTCCCGCCCTTCCCTCCTGCCCCGCCACGGCCAGGCAGCTCCCCATCGGCCCTGCTGTGACTCCCGGGTCGGGGAAGGCTCCCTTCTCTCTCCCGGGAGGCGCAGCCGGTCCCCCACCTGCGGGCCGGGTGCCGGGTGCCGAGGCCGGCGCTCACGCCCGCCGCGCTGCCATGCTGCTGCTGCTGCCGCCGCCGCTTCCCCGCTCCGCCCTTCCGTGTCACTTCCGCAGCCCCCGCCCCTCCCCGGCACCGGCACCGGCCACGGAGCGAGGGGGCTGCCCGGGCTCCGGCGCTGGGTGGAGCCGGGCCCGCACGCCCGGGGCAGCTCTCGTTGTGGGAAGATTTCAGAAGGGAAAGGAACCCCGTTAATTAGAGCCCAGACGGGAAAGGGCACTTGGAGGGTCTGGAGGCAAAGGACGGAGGGGGATGGGGCTCACTCCTGAGCTGGAAGAAATATCTTCAGCCCCATGGGACACGGAGCGTATCTGCTTCCCCTAGGGTCCTGGCTGAGCCCCCACCGYCCCTTCAGCAAAGAGCAAAGGGGCCATCCCGCAGCCCCATCAGCAAGGCAGGTGAGCATCACTTTCACAGCATCCCCGTACGATATCAATTCCCCAGGCAGGTCTATATTTTGATAGATGAAGGCATCAACCAAGCCTCATCCCACACAGAAAGGGAAACTGAGCCAGTTCAGTAACAGAACTTTTTAATTTCAACAAACCTTTTTCTCAAAATGAGCAACAAGTGACTTCCTTTGTCCACATTCTCCCTACTACTCACTGCTAATAAATGGCAGGATATGGTCTCCTGCTAGATTCTTGCTTTGTTCCTCTGTTCTGTGCACTGTATCTTCTCATTTCAATCTCCAATGTGTGAGAGGGACAATGCCACACTTCCCAGACATCTGTCATTGACAGCATGAGTGGAAACCAAAGGAAAGGCATGCATGTTACAGGAATTCCCACATTTGACATATCACTGACAGGAGATTTTCATTACTAAACCAGCCCTCCTGAAGCCATGGAATCCCAGTCCCAATTTATGTGAGAAACATCAGTATAGGTAAACCTGAAAAAAAGTCAAAACTCCTTTTTGACCAAAGGATTTTGTCTTCCACATCCATGACTATCTTATTGAGGTAGCCCCACTGCTGCACTTCAAGTGCATCTAAGACCCTTCCTAACMACCAAGATTTGAAAGGCTTCTTAATATGTGAAAAAAGCCAGAGACGTAAAGTAACTTTGGCAATTTAACAAAACCTCCCATCCAAATTCCTTTACCCCTGTACAGGGAAGCAAAATGGCATGGAGAGGGACTCCGTGGGCCTTGAGGCCTCCACCAGGCCAACTTGCTCTCTGAGTGTCCCACAACAGAGCAGCAATATCACACTGTGGGTAAGCATGAGGACAAGCAGCTCCTCACAGGACAAACACCACACCCACCACATACCCTACACATAGCTGATAACAGTGTCCCACAGCGAAGGAAGTCCCCAYACCCACAGGAAATCACTGCCACGGCCACTTCCATCACTGCTACATGTCTGAAGCAATGCAGCATGATGAAAACAGGAAGGCAAAAAATGTCTGAGAAAAAAGCAAATACTGCATCAGGCTCCCTCTTTCTCCACAAGGCGTCTGGGAGTGGCCTCTGCCTCCCTCACCAGAGAATTCAGTTCTCAGAGGTGGACTCTAGGCCCAAGTAGAACAAAATCTCGTAACTCTACTCAATGGTTCCCAAATGCTCTCTGCATTTTGAAAGTGCCTGAGTCATATTTGGGTCTCCACTCCTTCATGGCCATAGTGGCACTAGATGGCATGCAAACAGAGATTAGCTCGTTGCTCATCCTCAAGGGAAATCAATACAGGGATTATTACTGCTTTGAAGCCACAGACTCCCCAGCCTGCTCCCCTTTCATCAGACCACCTCTGCCTTATAGATGAATGC